GCGCAGGTCTTCGGATCTATCAGGTACAGTTGTCAGGCAGGAGATCTTCCTGCGATATGCCGAACTGCTTTTTTGTACCGAGCTACCCTGCAAGTGGCAAGCTGCCTTGGGGGGGGGAGCTATGCCGAGCTCCCTGAGCTAATCGGAGCTGCTTGTGACGAGCTCTGCCGAGCTGCCTGTGGTGAGCTGTGGCAAGCTCTGCCAAACTGCCTGTGGTGAGCTATGCCGAGCTACCCAGTTGTCAAGAGGCTGCACTTGGCTTGCATGAGGTGCCAGGTGTCACAATTTCACTGGAGGGCCAAATTCGCCCTCATCATTTGCCCCCCACTCCTGAGTTGATAGTAACTCAGCGAAGGGAGTAGATTTCTTCTTTTGGCCCGTAAGTCAACGAGCTAGTAAGTGCTGATCCAATTCCTTAGGCTTTGGGAGCTGCCTGTATGTGGCAAGCTGCTTGTAAGTGGCGAGCTGCCCGTAAGGTGAGGAGGTCTCCGCTAGTTCAGTACTGTAGTCCTTAGGCTCTGGGGGCAACTTATAGTTCACTTTTGCTGATTTTGCCCATGTTGAGGAAGTGACTGGGTTTTTAGCAATAATATGGCCCGTAGCGACTCGTAGTCCACTCTTCTTGACTTTGCTCATGCCGAAGAGGTGACTGGGTCTTTAGCAGTAATGTGGCCCGTAGGCTTTGGGAGCGACTCGTAGTCCACTCTTCTTTGACTTTGCCCGTGACGAAGAGGCGACTGGGTCTTAAGCAGTAATGTGKYCCRTAGGCTTTGGGAGCGACTCGTAGTCCACTCTTCTTTGACTTTGCCCATGCCGAAGAGGCGACTGGGTCTTAAGCAGTAATGTGGCCCGTAGGCTTTGGGAGCGACTCGTAGTCCACTCTTTTTTTACTTTGTCCGTGCCGAAGAGGTGACTGGGTCTTAAGCAGTAATGTGGCCCGTAGGCTTTGCCTGTGAGGTGCCGAGCTGACCAGGTGTCGAGCTACCTGTGAGGTTCCGAGCTACTTGTGAGGTGCCGAGCTATCCATGATTGCGCTGCATCAGCCTCGTAATGCCGGTCACCCATTCCTACAAGAAGCTACTAGGAGCTCGACCTTCAGGGGCAGCACTACTAACTTTAGGTCACCGGCTCACACGGGAGCCTTGGAAGGCTCAACCAGCAAGGGTTCCTATGTAGTCTGTTGAACGCCAACTCCCACGGAAGCCACGAAGCTCATCTTTGTAGAGGGGACCTTGCGGAGAGGACTGATGAGGTTTTATCTGAATTGAAAGTTGGTAGAGCTGCTTAGTCTGCTGGCTCCCTACATAGTCTTTGAGTTCATAAAAACTATAAACTATAAAGCGAGAGCTTCAATTTCTAAAAAGTGAGGACTTAGCTTTCTGAGAGAAGAGGACTTAGCTTTTGTAGGATGAGAACTTAGCTTTTTGTAGCGTGTTCCCACAGACGGCACCAATTGATGTAACTATTTTTGGTCACGTACCAATTTTTTTTATTTTTTGGCTAAGTGTCTCGTCATTTGACCTACTCTTAAGAGAGAATGGTGGAGATCCCTGGTGTAGCGCAACCCGACTGCCCTCTGCATGAGGTGATCTTCTCTCCTTTGTAGGCGGCGGGAGCTGAGGAACCTGCGAGAACTCCATCTTTTCCTCCTCTTTGTAGGTGGCGAAAGCTGAGGGACCTACGAGAACTCCATCTTTTCCTCCTCTTTGTAGGCGGTGGGAGTTAAGGAACCTGCGAGAACTGAATCAGAGGTCTCGGGGGTCTTTACCCGGCAGGGACTCTCCGATGCTTAAGTTAGCACTCTGATTGTAGAGAGCTTGAAGATGATATTGGAGAAATGAGAGAGCTAGAGAGCAAGGATTACCTCCATTTCTTCCATCCCCCTTGTCTTTGGGGGTCGGAGTCCTTATATAGTGATGTCCTGTCGAATCAGGCGTAACAACCTCTGTCAAGTCAGGCATAACAACCTCTATCAAGTCAGGCATAACCGCCTCTGTCTCTCTGTCGCAGCCGTTATTGCCAGAGCTGAAGTGGCGAGTGTAGGCAGCTCTTGCAGAGTACGGCTCTGCCAGGCGAGGGACAGCTCTCAGGGCTGGCAGGCACGGCGCCGCCTGGCGAGAGATGTGGGTGCAGGTCTCCGGATCTGTCAGGTATGGTTGTCAGGCAGGAGATCTTCCTGCGATATGCCGAACTGCTCTTCTGTACCGAGCTACCCTGCATGTGGCGAGCTGCCTGGGGGGGCGGGGGAGCTATGCCGAGCTCCCTGAGCTATGTCAAGCTGCTTGTGGCGAGCTCTGTCGAGCTGCCTGTGGCGAGCTCTGTTGGGCTGCCTGTGGTGAGCTATGCCGAGCTGCCTGTGGCGAGCTATGGCAATCTCTGCCGAGCTGCCTGTGGCGAGTTGTGGCAAGCTCTACCGAACTGCCTGTGGTGAGCTATGCCGAGCTGCCCGAACTGCCCTGTTGTCAAGAGGCTGCACTTGACTTGCATGAGGTGCCAGGTGTCACAATTTCACTGGAGGGCCAAACAGAGCAAACTCCAAATAACAAAGCAACAATCAAGGTCTATTTAATAAGTCTCAGCCAACAAGATTCTGAATCCCAAAGTAACAATAGACCTTTCTTAGCCAATTCATGGCCACACAGTTTCCAGACCTGTTAATAAACTAAAAATAGATAGTAAAATTTTTTACAGCCTCCAAAATATCCCTACAGGCTACAGAGGAAAACTGCTTCCCTGGCAAGAGAAAGACTTCCAATTTAAAGCATGATTTTCAAAACTGGATTGGATCAGACGGTTGAACCAGAAAACCCGGGAACCAGTCAAGTAAGTGATTCTATTTCACTCTAAAACCATTTTTTGGCCAAAAAACATTGATTTAGTCAGTAATTCGCTAATTTGGATGGTTGAATCGTCAAATCAGACAAAAGTTTTTTTACCTTTTTTATTTTTTATTTTTTAAGTCATAACAGACCATCCATTTGACCCGGGAACCGGTCCTTAGAACGGTTCCTGTCCGATCTAGTTTTAAAAACCTTAAAGATTTAAGAACCTGAATAAGGTTGGAGAAACCACTTAAACAAACTTTAGCCGAAAGCCATACTCTTTGATTGTATGATAATTATTTTAAGCTTTCTATGGACGTTGGCATGTTTCGGAGGAAGGACCTTTGGCTTTATGAGGTGGGTCCCGGTGGGTCCCGCACAGTAACAATTAACATGGTAAATCTGAAGTTTTTCCTCTTAGGCCATGGTAGTGTTTATATTGGGCATTTGGTAGTCTTTTTCTCCAATAAGTATTGAAATCTGTATTTGTGACTATTTTGTCCTTCATTTTTTTTTGAATTTTTAAAATATACTCTTATGAAAGTGATTTTATTAAATTATTTTTATAAAAAATACTTTTATGAAAACACTTTCATAAAAGTACTTTTACGAAAGTACTTTTATTAAAGTGCCTTTATTAAAGCACTTTTATAAAAATATTTTTATAAAAATATTTTTATAAAAGCATTTTTATGAAAGTACTTTTACGAAAGCAATTTAATAAAAACACTTTTATAAAAGTACCTTTATAAAATTACTTTTATAAAAATACTTTTATGAAAGTACTTTTATAAAAGAACTTTTACAGAAATACTTTCGTGAAGTACCTTGATGAAAGTACTTTAATAAAATTCAACTAGGGATAATTTTATAAGTGGTATTTTAAAATTCAATTAAGGATAATTTTGGAAGAAAAAAATAGAATAAATGCTTATTGTATAAGCACTTAAAAAAAGATGGAAATTTGGGCTTAAAAAAAAAACCTTATTTATAAAATAAACACTTATTTTGGACTTATTTCCCAAACACCAATAAGTGTTTAATGATGTGGTCCCGGCCCAAATAAGCAGTTGTTTCAAATAAGCACTTATTTTTAAACACTCCCAAACATGGCCTTAATACTTTTCTATTAATTGGCGCAATAACTTTTCTGTTAATTCTGTGATAATTAAATACCAATCTTTGACTGGCTTCAAATTAACATCAACTTATTAATAGAAATTTCTTTTAACAACAGAAAAGTAATAATAAAAAATTTAGAATTTTATGATTTTAAAATTAATAACAGTAATTTCTCATTTTATTAATTTGAATTTCTGATATTTTTAATATTCAACTTTTTTAATTTCTTTTGTTCATTATCAATCAATAAAATTAATCAACTCCCTGCTAGTGGCCTATAAATCAGTTCAGTCAAAATTTCAGCTGAATTCAGCTTTGAAAGCATAAAACCCTTGAAACACGCACACCCCAACCCTGAAGCTAATTCTATTTTAACCAAAAAAAAACGTGAAACTCATACAAACACAACCTAAGATGCCTTGGCTTGAGTATTACTCCATCCACAAGGCAATTCAATAACTGTTATCGCAACTGACCGTGGGATCAACAAAGAGTCCAACCCTGAAATTATTTAATACGGTGGTTCGTTATACACCAAGTGGGGTTTAAAACTTTAAATTGGCCAGAGGTACCGTACCATACCAGTCTGGATTTCCGCATTAATTTCATTCTTACATGCCCTGTGACTACGGACTACCGATGTACGATTTCTATCTCTCTCCACAAACAGTTACACAATTCTTCATTCTCTCTAATTTATTATTTTTCTTCTTACTATTCCAATGTACATTGCCTACTTCCTTTTCTTTGGTTTTTGTGGTAAGGGTGTTGTATGTTGTATCGATTCAAAGTTTTCAAAAGCATTTTTATTTTGCTTTTTCCAAAAGTTGTAGATTGGTCAGTTTGACTAGCCTGACTAGCCAGATGTATTGAGAGAGAAAGAGAGAGAAAAAGAGACTACTGGTCTGATTCCTATTTTGTAACTATTCTATTACTTTGTTAATCTCTTGCTTTCTTCCAGGATAAGAACCATGTCAGCATGATTGAGCTATCGCTACTGTGTTTAATGTTTATATTGGCATAATCTTAATATCATTCCTACAAATGTCCTGCTTGTTCATTCTCTCTCTCTCTCATCTATCCTTGGTTCCTTACTAAGAAATCCGGGCTTTCATCTTTCTTTTCTATTAATCCGAAACTTTCCATCAGTTCCCTATTCAGTATTGATACCTGCATTTTCTTTTGGTGCTCCTAGTACTAAAGTTTACTCATTTTCGATTGACTGACCCATTTCACTTTCTCCATCTTTTGACATCTCTGGCTCAGTAAACAGCTCTGGATTCTGAAGTTGAAGACTCGGCTCATTAATTTTGCCTTCTGTTATTCATTCTTTCTGCCGATACAGGTCTTGCATTGAAGATCCACTTCTTGCAGTTTGAGCTCAGCAAGTCTCTCGCGTGTTAAATATAAGTATTGTCTTTGGCAGTTCTCCATTGCCCATTTCTTATATTCTGAATCTAAGCAACCGCAGCTATTTCTTTCTCCTTCATTCTTTTAAATCTTATGCTGTCATCCATGAAGGATGATCAGATGGCCATTCCTCACTTATTCAGATGCCCAATTAGTCTAGACTTGTTCACTGATCCAGTCACTCTGTGTACAGGCCAAACCTATGATCGATCTAGCATTGAGAAATGGCTTGCAGCTGGGAATCTCACTTGTCCTGTTACAATGCAGAGGCTCCATGATCCATCCTTAGTTCCAAACCACACGCTAAGACACTTGATAGACCAATGGCTTTGCATGGACCACTCCTTCGACCCCGATTACTTAAAAACCATTGATCCTGATCTTTCCTTGACTACTCTGAAGCACAAACTTGAATCCCAAGAAGTAACCTTGGCAACTAAGATTGGAGCAGTGGGGAAACTCGAAGTTCTATCCAAAGATTTGGCTTGGAGGTCTGGTTTGATTCAGCTAAATTTCTTCCCACTCATACTGCGTCTGTTTTTTGTTAAGTTTACTCAACAAGCAAACCTCGACCAAGAGGATTCAGAGCTCGCAGAAGGAGCTCTGACTTGTATCCTGAACATGTTCCCTTTCAGCAAATTGTGTTCTTTGAATATGCTTAAAGAAGACTCCAATTTAGCCTCCTTTCTGGTGTTACTAGACCATGGCACTGCCAAGATCAAGACCAGTTTGTGTCATCTGGTGGGGTTAATTGCATCGTCTTCAGAAACCAGAGATCTTTGTGTGGTGTTTGGACAAAACCCAAAGATCTTGCGAGGACTGATCACTCTCCTACATCAGAACTCTGAAGCCTCTAATGCTGCAGTCAAAGCCATATCAGCACTATGTTATTTAGAATTGAATCAAGAGAATGTTGTTACAGAAGGTGGGGTGGACGGCCTTATAGCATACATCTCTGGTACCAACATAAGCCAATCATCTATGGCGTTGGCCACGCTTGAACTTCTGTTAGGACTGGAGAGTGGCAAAAAGGCTGCAGTTAATAATCCAAGTACAGTTCACGCTCTGGTTAAGATGGTCTTCAGAGTATCTGATCATGAAGGCAGTGAAAATGCAGTAGGCTCTCTGCTGATCATTTGCTATGACTCACTGAAGGTGCGGGAAGAAGCAATAAGCGCTGGTGTCTTGACACAACTGCTACTACTACTTCAGAGCCAATGTAGTTGCAGGTCCAAGAACAAGGCCAGGGTGTTGCTCAAGTTGCTTAGATCCATGTGGGCTGAGAGCCCAAGTGCAAGTGCAGTATGGCCTAGTTGACTTGATGCCTGAGTTGGTCTCTGAAAATTTCTGCACATATATATTGTTTCCAATAAGGGGATAGAGAGTAAGAATCCCCCTTCATACCAAGAAACCATGAATGAAGTGTCTTTCTCTGCATATGTTGTGTTCTTCTTCTTTACAGCATAACCAAGCAGGGGTCTGCCTCTTGCTTGGCTATTGTAATCCCTGTAAGTCTGTAACATTCTTTCAATCCTTTCTAAGAAAACACATTTCTCCGAAGATGCCTGTTTTTTACCTTGGATAGCAGCTTTCGAATAAGTTTTTGATGGTGAATTGTCTGAAACATGGCACACAATTCAACACAATTTAGGCCCCGTTTGGTTCGTGGGAATAGGGGTCTGGAATCAGAATCGGAATGAGCTATTCTGATTCCAATTGTTTGGTTGAGCAGAATCGGAATCCCATTCCCATTCCTGCTGGAATGGTCATTCCCTGCCCCTCCTTTGGGAATGAAATCCCATTCTTGCTTATTCCAATTCTCATTCCCATTCCTGTCTGAACCAAATAGACTATTGGAACAGACCATTCCGATCCTGATTCTAATTCTGAAGGATTCTGATTCCGATTCCAATTCCTACTGTGAACCAAATAGACCCTACTGAATTTGCTTACATTTTAATTTCAGATGAAGCTCAAAATATAGAAAGAATAGTTTTTAAGGGGCTACTCCAGAGAAGTGGAGAAAACCAGACAACTTCGTACTCAGACCCCAAGAGGAGCTCAAAATCTCAACTGGGCAGTGGGAGAAATCTGAGATGGGCCATTTTTTTTATGCTTTTATTTTCTCTCTCAGCTTTGGGAGTCTTGTTAAAAGGGAGTTAATGTGTATTGTTGCAGATAAGTCAAAATCATTATATTGCACGCCTTGTACAAGTCAATTTTAGCTGCATACCTTTGTGGGACTTGGTCTTCTTATGAGTTTTCAACAGCACATGTGACAAAAGTATGTGTTGTCGTCTAGGCTCCTTCCTCTTTATTAACACACCAGTTGCTGGGGCGGTTGATTTGAGGTGACATCTTGAATCAGATAGAGATCTTCATACACTTGTTATAGGAAACACTGCAAGAGATGGGCCTATAATCATTGAAAGAACTGGGGTGCCTATACTTTAAAAACAGGGATGATAAAGGTCCTCTCACCCAGAGAAATTTGTAAACAGATGTAAATGAGGAAACAGCTTATTTGGCTTGTCATGGATAATTTGTTCACTTTTATCCGTTGAAGAGCTCAGTACTGCTAGTAGGAAGAAAAGTTTGAGTAGATAAAGAGCCAATCCCATTGCACAACAGAGATGCTTGGCATCGAGATGCCTTTGATGTTGTTCGGGTCATGGCTGAGCTGGCCCTGTGAGACACGTGGCCACCCAACTATTGTCCTGCCACATCATCCTAGCTCGGCCACGTCGGCATAGCTCGGCCAAGTTATGCTATTACTATGGCATCCCATCTTATCCTTCTAGCCACGTTAATTACACGTTATATGGATGAGCACAACTACAGATAAGGAGGAATAAGGAAAACGACTCCACTGAGGAATGGGACATTATCCCGAATACCTCGACGCTAACCTCATCCCGACAACCCCGGTAGCCCAATCCGACCAGGACACGGATCTTCAGCTATAAAAATGTACTCCATGCTCGAGGTAAGGGAACCAACTTCCGAGACCTACACCACTACTTAGCTCGGACCGGCATCCTTATAGCTCGACCCGACCATCCTACCACCTCCTACTGACTTGAGCATCAGAGTTCTTACCCGGGGATAACTCCTCGAGCCTCCAACTTCTGTTTCCTTGATCATAGGTCTTGAAGCGCAGCCTCGTCCTTACAGCTCGGCCCCACCCTACCAGTAAGGACTATCTGGTTGCTCTCCTCAGTTCGTGCACCACCTCGGATTGAGCAGCATCAGATTGGCATCGTCTATGGAAAACTCACAAAAAGCCTGTCCCGAAAATCTTTCATTCCTCACTGCGCAATCAAGAAAACGATCAAAATGCCCAAGAACTTGTCCGAACAATCAACAGGTCAATCCCCATCTCGGGAATCTCGGCATCACAGCTCTCCACATCAAGAAATTCCATAGCCTCTAGCCGCGGCTGATCCTGTACAGTTCCGAGCAATGCAAGAGAGTCGATAAGATCTTCGAGATGATGCAGAAACTAGGAAGTGTGGCACCGCCCAATCGGGTCGTCCCCCCTCACGCCCTGACAGGTACAAAGGATGAAAGGACCATCCTCACCCCGAGGACCCCAAAATGCGCCGGCCAAAAAAAGGAGGGGAGCGTGGTCCAAGCGTGAGAAGCAAGACACAACAAGGTGTCCTGCCTCCACAGCCCGCTCCGCGAGCCCGACAACCACACACACAGCTGTGCTACACCGCCGCGCTACACAGCTACACTACACAGTTGCGCTACACAGTCGTGCTACACTGCCACGCTACACAGCCGACTAACCGACACACGCACAACATATTGCACATACATCATGTAGGCCATGCAAAAAACGCCGTGCAACGTGGGCAGTGCAGCACTGAATCAGCTGACCTACCAGTGGGCACGACACGAAGCTCGACAGTGTATCACCGACTAAGAAAACCGACTCAGCCGACCTATAACGGCTCGAGCCCTTAACGCATAGCTAGTAGCTAGCTCGGCAACGTATAGCCAAACATCTGACTCGGCTGATCAACGGCCAAAGCCCAAATCGGAGAAGATCGCTCCTGCCTCCGAGGCCAAAGGGCAGTCATCGTACTCCATACTTCGGCGACAAAATGTCGCAAAGCCAGCTGAACAACGGCTGACCCACGAAGGGCCCCAAAGGCTCCCAAGACCAGAAATAGAGCGTCCCAAAGATGAGAGCTCAGAATATACTCCGGCCCCACTAGTTGGCGACTGAAGATCTCGGTCAACCCCAAACCTCGGCCAAGGTAAGGCCGAGGAGCCAACTCGTATGTATGCACACAAGTTCAGAACAAAACAGTTTCATTAAGTTAAGCCATCAATACAGCAGGTTAAAGCTCGGCATACCGAGCTATCAAAGAAGAAAAAGACAAAAGAACACAAAATTCTAAGAGCAACCCGTAGTTGTTCAATCCTCGACAGCAATGTTGACCAAGGGAAGCCACACTACACTTCGGCCGAGCACTCTACCCTTTGACTTCGGAACTAGGAGAGTGGTGTTCGGATTCTGAAACTTAAGCTACAAATTCCTCAGTCGAAGAATAGAGAGCCCATCCTTAGTGCAGCATCAGGGGAGCTCGGCCCAACGGCTCAACACCTTCCTCGGCGCAGCACTACCGAGCCTCGAAGACACCCAAACTTCGAAGCTCGAAACCTTCCTTGAAGGGGCATTGGAGAGGCACAGACTCCGAAGCTCGGCACCTTCCTCAGCACTGCGCTACCGATCCTTGGAGAGACCTAGACTTCGAAGCTCAGCACCTTCCTCGGCGCAGCGCTACTGAGCCTCGAAGAGGCGCAAACCCAAAGCTCGGCACCTTCCTCAGCATTGCACTATCGAACATCGAAGAGACCTAGACTTCGAAGCTCAGCACCTTCCTCAACGCGACACTATCGAACCTCGGAGAGACCCAGACTTTGAAGCTTGGCACCTTCCTCTATGGGGCATCGGAGAGACCTAGACTTTGGAGCTCCCTTCCTCAGCGGGGAGAGACCTAGACTCCGAAGCTCGGCACTATGCTACCAAGCCTCGGAGAGACCCAGACTTCGAAGCTTGACACCTTCCTCGACGCAGCGCTACCGAGCCCCGAAGAGGTGCAGACCCCGAAGCTTGGCACCTTCCTCGGCATTGCACTACCGAGCATCAGAGAGACCTAGACTTCGAAGCTCGGCACCTTCCTCGACGTGACGCTACCGAGCCTCGGAGAGACCCAGACTTTGAAGCTCGGCACCTTCCTCGTCGTGGTTTTACCGAGCCTCGGAGAGACCTAGACTTCAAAGCTCGGCACCTTCCTTGGTGTAGCAGTACCGAGCCTCAGAGAGACCTAGACTTCGAAGCT